GGGTAGATAGGTCCTCTTGACCTCCAACCAAGACAAGCCAGGCCAGAGTGAGCCTTGCCACCTGTCACCTGAGCCCTGAGCCTTGTCACCTGAGTCTCATTCCCCCCCACACACACACAGGTGTCAGGGAAGAGAGAGCAGAGGAGAGAAATGAAGGGAAAGGAAGGGAAAAGAAGGGAAGGGAAGGGAGGGGAAGGGAGGGGAAGGGAAGGGAGAATCACCAGGGGACAGGCAGGAAGGCTGCAATAACAAAACTGGTTTGAGTTTCTGCTGTTTGAGGGCCTGAGCACCACACAGTGCAGTCAGTGGGATAAGCAGATAAATGCATGCACAACCACACATTGTGAGGCCAGGTGACACATAATGGGGGGGGGCCTGCAGGGGAGACAGACCTCACGCAGCCTGGAGGGAGCCAGGGACAGCACATTGGGTGAGATGACTCTGGTTCATTAATGAGAGTCTCCCATCTCTGGGTACATGGGGGGTACCAGTGGCTGTCAGGTAACTGTTCTAGTAAAATCTGTCACCAAGCCCTATTACAGTGTCTCACTGCCTCCTGAAATGGTCCCCTAGCCCTTGGAGGGAAAATCACCAGTGAAGGCAGCAGGCAAGTGGGGATTCTAGCAGGCATGGAGAACTGGAGTCTTTGAAGGCAGAGGGGCCTAGCAGGGTGCCCACCCTATTGCATCCTGACACTCTGGGGAGACAGTTACAGACAGTGGGACCCTTACTCTCTCCCACATGCACACAAATTGGCCTCACTAGAGTGCAGATTTTCCAGTGCCCGTGTTTCTCTGGAAAGCCCAGCTAAATGTGAGTTCTGTACCCATCAACCTTGACCTGGCAGGGCCAGCGGCAAGGGGGCAGGGGCAAAATGGAGTTGTTCTTTCCAAAATGGAGGTGGCACAAGTCACCACAGGCCAGCACCTTGCCAGGGCTGCTAGTGATAGATACTGGTGGCTACTGCCTGGCACAGCATTAATAATCATGTTTATTAATGGTCTTAATTAGCAACTGCCAATGAGAAGCCTGGTGTTAATTCCACCAATAATCGAGGCTTGTGGGGCAAATGGATGGGAAAGATAGTGAGGGGACGGATGACTTGCAGCGTGGGTAATAACACAGACACCATGGGTGTGTTGGGGCCACTGCAGAGGACAGCCTGGGTGGCTGGAGAGACTGGAGAAGGGGACCCCCCATAGGCTCCCACACCAGGGTTCCTTGACCCCCCACAATGCCACCTTCTCCGTGGTGTTGGGACAAAATGAAGCGTGAGGAATTGTGGGGAGGAGGGGGCCTCTGTCTGTCCCTTTAGAGCCAGGTCCCAGACAACAGCCTGTGGGATGGAGGCAATTCTGTAAAAGCCTGAGTGAAATGAGCTAGAAGGGGATTGAGAACAAGCCCCACAGTGTCCTGGAGCCACATTCCTTGCTCTGGGGAGACGGAGATGGATGGTGCTGGGCAAGGAGGGCGGGGGCACAGGGATGGGGGGACTTCTGCAGTTAAGGGCTCTCCTGCCAAGAAGAGCAGGGTGGGAAAATCAAGCTTAAGTACCCAAAGGATGCTGGAAACAAAGCCCATTTCCTCTGTCAGCCTCAGCCAAGTAGGGCTTGCTTGGTCCTGCTTGGGGACCCAAAGAGCAGCTCAGAGCAGGCCCACAGGGCCATGGAAATACAGGCCAAAGGGGAGGACCATCATCCAGGCCAGACCATCATCCAGAAGGTCAACCTTCCCCAGGGGACTCAACCCAGGCAAGGCTGAGCACCTGTAAACATCTCACAGAGGGAGGGCCATGGAAGAGAGGGAGGGGCATACAGCATGGGTGACAAGGCCCAAGCAGACCTAGGGCGAGAGGACTCATTTGTTTCTATCAGAAGTGGCTTTTAGGATCTCTGGAGGAATTCCCAGGTACTGGCCAGCTCTCAGTCTGAACAAATTGGAGGCATCCTGAGTAGAGCCAAAGACGTGGATAGGAGAGTGGCTGGGTGAGGAGCAGCAGAAGGGCCCAGGGAGGGGACAGAATTCTGTTCTGGCTCTCAGCCCGGGTCCCCTGTCCCCAACTTCCGTGTTATCTAAGTGTCCCAGATTCAATCCCAGAGGCCACCAGCACCTTGGAATGGGGCTGGCATGCATGTGGTCCCTGGATCCACCCAGATGCCAGGGGGATAGAAGAGAAGAGGGAAAGATCTTCCATCCATGCAGAAGGCTATGCCAAAGCCCTGGGAGCAGGCCGCTGAAGCTAGCGCTGGGTCCAGCCTGGGAAACCATTTCCGCTCCTTATCAGAACCTCTGCCTTTTTGCTCAGCCAGCCCCCCAACGGTGACACAGAAGCCCTGGACATCATGGGCTGTTAGCTGGCAGGAGAGTTGGGAAGTGCACCCACTATGGCTGAGGTAGAAGCCCCAAGCGATAGAGGCTCACAGGAATGAAATGACTTGTAGGGAGGCCCAGCCAGTTAGCAGGGCAGCCATTACCAGAGGCACAGCAACCTACGCACGGAGCCAAGGCTCCTGCTGCAGAGGTATAGGTGTAAGGGGACAGGTGACTGCCGCTTTTGACCCATGCTGGTTCCGCTCACTCCGCCTTCCTGAGCAGGCTGAGGACTCCTCGGGATCAGAGGCGGCGGCGCAGACAATGGCGCTCTGTCCCTGCGCTGGGATAGCTCATCCCTATGCAGCAGTCGCTCCCCGCCCCCAGGCCGGGCCGCCAGCCCCTTTCAGTGGCGGAGGGGAGGCCGAGCACGGCCAGAGTTCTCACGGCCGTTGGGCATTTGCATAACCCGCATTGTTCCCGCCGACCGTGGAGGGCGCACGGCCCGGGCGCGCGGGCACCGGCTGGGGGCGGCAGGCGCAGACAAAGGCGAAGCGCACAGCCCACTGCGACAGCGCAATTCTGGGGTGCGGTGGGGGATGCGGCTGCTGGGCATGCCTGCCCAGCACGGCAGCCACCGGCACTGGGGACGCCCACGCCGTGTCTAATTCCTGCAGGAGCCGGGCCGCCGTGCACCGTGATGTGCATCCCAATCGCGGGGATCACCGACCTTTCCCAGGCTGCCCGGGTTGGTAGTACTGGATCCTCCCGAGGTCAGAGGAGCAGCTTCCAGCTCCTTCTGGCCGAGGAGCTTCAGTCACAAAAATGCTGTGGGGCCTGCGGGCCTCCTCATGCCCAGATGTCCCTGGGTGGCTGCCATCATGCATACACAGATGCGGACACAGAGACTGCCTCCAGGAGCTTGCTTACCACGCTAGGTTCCATCCTGACCCCAGCACAACCTGTGTGCCCCATCAGCCCAACCCCTGGAGGCAATCAGGAGCCTAGTGCCCTCGTCCATCACTGTCCCCAGAGCTGAGGCACTGAGGCTAGATAGACAGAGTTCATGAGCAGGCAAGTGTCTGATTGTCCTGCATTGACAGTAATAATGGTGGTGATCAGAGTGACTGTCTTGAAGGGACACAACTTCATTGTCCTGAAGGGGTGAGGAAGGAGTTCCCTTGGCCCCTGTCCCCGGCATCCCCTTGACCTGTTCATTGTCATCCTGTTGACCCAGCCTGAATGGATGGGCCACTGTGTGGGGGACTAATAGTCCTGAGTCAGGGGCTATGGGCAAGAGGGGGAGGGTCTAGTTCCTGCTCATTGGGGCTCCAAGGATACCTGTCTTTCCACCCCCAAGAGCTCCCTGACTGGAATGAGGAGTGGGATGATCACCCCCATAACCTAGCCTTAAATAGTGGCTCAAGTGGATCACAGAACAGTCTATAGTCGACCCTGTATTTAAGACAAAGTTGGAAGAAAAGAAAGGAAAAACAGTGGAAAACAAACAGTGTGACTTAGGAGAGTTCAGCCCTGGGCAGAATCCCCAGAGGATGGGACCAGGGTTTGAGGGCTTGTGGTTGTGTTCAGTGTCATTGCCTGTGCCACTGAAGGCTTCATGGAAATGATGGCACTTAGAACTGTTTGGCTACAAGATACATAGGGCCCAGGCCTTCCCTGTTCCTCCTTTCCCCAGGGTCTCTTGGCAAGCCATCCGGAGACCTGTAGCATGGTGGCACATGCCTGTAGCATAAAACCTGTAGCCCTTGTCTTTGAAAACTAGCTGGGCAGTGCCCTCTCCCAGTTGCCTCAGCCATCCCTTCTCCAGATGCCTCCGTGGATTGAGATAGGTGGTTGTGGGCTGGGGATTTAGCTCAGCAGCATAAGTGCCTGCCTTGCAAGCAGGCAGTCGTGAGTTCGATCCCTGGTACCGAAAAAGACCAAAAAAAAAAAAAAAAAAAAAAAAAAAAAAAAAAAAAAGATAGGTGGTTGTCTCCCACCAAAAACCATTCTGGATTTTAGCTGCCCAGTTCTTGAGGTCTGAAAGAAAGTCAAGAAAGAACCAATAGCAGAGGGATAGGGTCAGGGTGAGAAATGTTGGTGCCAGGAAAAAATAAATATCCATCACTTTCCTACCCATACAATGCTGGGCAGGGCTCGGTAGCATCCTGTGCTTAACTCAGATCTCACCATTAGAGCAGCATTTGAGGAGCTCAGAGTCTGGGGCAGGTCTGGAGGCTATCACTCCCCCAGGGCAGAGCTGAGGCCAGGATGGAAGTGGACATGGCTCTTCTAAGTGCTTTCCTTCTCTCCCAGCAGGGCTGACAGTGCCTGGGAGCCTTTCTGCCACTTAGCAATCAGCTTTTTGCCTCAGTACAGGATCTGCTCCACATATCTGCCATGACTATCTGTGAGGAGTTGTGGGGGCACACAAAGGAGGGAGCTAAGGGAGCTAAGGAGGGAGTCCACCAGGTGCCAGGGGATAGTGCAACAGAACTCATCTCTCAACTGCTCTGCTCCTCTCTGTGCCCCTCAGGGCTTGGCCTCTGGACCAGCCAAGCTCAGTTCCTCCAGCTGCAATGGGGCAGCTGGGTCTGAATGATCTTTGTGAGGAGAAAGTCTGCAGTCATGCTTAGCTCCTGTCAAATCCTGGAAGAAAGGAGAAGGCTGAAGGGCCCAGGTCTGCAGCATTGGGAAACGGATGCTGTTTAATGAAGGGATAGCTCTGTGGGATGAAGCCCCTGGTATCTGCCTACGGTGTCATGAGGCGTGCGGTGCTTACAATGGGCTATGGCAGGAATGCCCAAAGACCAGTACCAAAGCAGACAGGAAGTGGGTTAGGCTGTAGGAAGCACTTTCATTCTTGTGAAGGAGCAAGAATGGTAGAACCAGGAAGACGGCAGCTTCCTCTGCTGGATCTAGGGCGCCCTCCAGTGGCCAAAGGCTTCAGGCCAACAGAGGCCCTAGGCCAGCCTTCCTCTTCCAATGCAGCAGCCCTGAAGATCCTTCCCATTGCTTCTTGGCAGTCTCTGGACAAGTAGCATCTCGGTCAGTGGTGGTGAAGAGCCTGTTGTTTGTTATCACTGAAAGCTCCCAGACCTGAGTGATGGCTGATTCCAGCTTCGTATGCTCTTTTTAGGCCTGTGGGGCCTCTTCCTACTCTGCTTAGAGGCTACCTTAATTGAGTCAGGGAGGTAGTGATTCGGAAACTGGGAAGAACACCCTGGATTTCCATGCAAAAATGGACCCCCGAGAGGACCTATCTGGTAGGATGTGGAATCCTAAAGAGAGTCTGGTGGGCCCAGAGAGGGAGGATTTTGTCACACTAACACCCTTTTTTTGCCCCAAGGTTATAATATTGTGAGTTAGAGGGGAGAACAGCCCCTGTTCCCAGGGCACAAATAAAAGGAGTCAGTGTCCTTGGCAATTGAGGTGTTTATCACCCCCAGACAGCTGAGCCTGCCTCAGGCTTCACTATAACTGTGACACTGACCCCATGGATTGGCAGTCCCCTGGGCACTTCCTATAGTCCCTTCTAGCCACATGTGCTGGCTGGTAGGGCAGTTTCAGCCCTGTCCTCCACCCTTTCCCTATGGGGGAAGGTGTCTTTTAGGGACAGGTGGCTTCTGGTTCATGGATTCTTCCTTGAAGCAGAAGAAGAAGGAATTGAAAAAGGGATTCCCAGGAGGAGAAGCCAAATATCATCATCTTGCTGCAGTACTGGGGATCGAACCTGGGCCCTGATGCATGCTAAGCAAGTGTTCTACAGCTGATCTGCAGCTCCCCACTGCCTTCTAAAAGGAGGCTGTCGTCTGCAGAGCACATTAAGCCTGACTGTTTGGCTCTTCCATGCTCAGATGTCCCTGGGCTTCATCCTCATGCTCACCTGGTACCTGAAAGGCAGGGGAAGGAAGGTAGGGGTGGCCCCAGGGAGCTGCAGGCTGCAGCACAGGGGTGTGCACCAGTGGAGGAGAAGCAGGGGAGGAAGGAAGGAAGCAGGTTTGGCCACAGGAAGGTGAGCAGTCAGAGAACCCAGGACTATGAAAGCTCCACCTGTGTCTTACCTCCCAGTAAATCTGGTCCTCATAGCACTGGGAGTCTGGGGGGGAGTCCAGTGAGGGCAGCCTCAACAGGAGCCCTAGAAGGGGCAAGGAACAATATGTGAGGGGTCATGCCCATCCCCAAGGAGGCTGCCTACTGAGTGCCCCAGGAACAAAAGGACCAGAAAGCATGATGCTAACATGACACCCAGTACAGGTGGGCCACATCCATGTGCTGAGCACCTAGTGTGTGCCAGGGCCTGTGCCAATGCTTGACAAGCCTGCCCTCCTGAGAAATCACAGCAGCCCAGCAGGTGAACATTATCCTTGTGTTACATAGAAACCAACGGTCAGAGATGCTAAATAATTCATTCAAGTTTGCACAGTTGGTAGCTGATCAAATTGTGACTCTGTCATGAGCCAAACTACTGAGCTTCAGTTTCTTGGAGGGGCAGAAGAAATATTTCTCATATAATTAAGTTATTAAATAAATAAGTTGAACTTTAGAGGGTGAGACTCTGGAATCCTGGGTCAGGTTTTAGTATTAAGGCTAGACATCAGGAAGGACTGCCTGCCCAGGGCCAAAGACAGATGGACTCTCCGAGGTATTGGGACTGAGTTAGAAGTGAGGCCTGAAAAAATAAAAAAAGAAGTGAGGCCTGATTGTAGTGTTCCTTTTAATCGTTATCCTGAGACTTGCCTGCCCTCTAGTGGGCTGAAGGAGCAACACAGGGAGGAGATGGACCTATGGAGCCCAAAACAGGCGCCCTAGTCTACCTGGGCCTGGAGAGAGTAAGCACCCACTTGCATCTCTCCTTCCCAAGGAGGGTTGTTCCAGCCCCTCAGCCTGCCCTTCCTCTGGTACAAGGTACTCTCTGGCACAATAATTCTGTGAGTGAGCAAAGGAGTAGGATCCCAGGGCTTCTCCTCCAAAGAACCCTGTGGTGTATGTTCTTCTCTCCTTACAGCACCTTCAAACTCCCCACCTCCACCCAAGATCACTCACCAACAAGACTCCCGCCCACAAAAGCAAACGCTAGTGTGACAAACAGCCCAAAGAGCTGGTACACAGCCTGTGATGTGGCGCTGCGCTGACCCTCAGCTATGAGTGGAAACACGTCTTCCAGACTGTAAGGAAAGCAGATTGTGAGTCCTAGGATAGGGGCAGGAAGGGAAAGGATGGCCAGGGGTTTGGACTGGTCACTGTACAGCACTCGCACCAGGGGATACCCAGCAGCCAGAATGGCCTCCAGAGAACCTTCACCTAAGCCCTGTGGGCTTTGCAGGGCCACATGGGGAACACCTCTTGGCCACCATTCCACCTCTGCACTGCAGCCCCACCCCCACCATACACTTCTCTAGTCTCAGTTTGAGGATCCCTTATGACCTCCTCCTCCTGTGAGCCCTGAATTCCCAAAATAGAACCCCAAAGGTCATCATCTCTTACTACCCTTTGGTAACACTCAACACCCCTGAAATCATTTGTTCAGTAATCTTCTGCTGTGCTTGATCAGGGGGGCAGTCCCTGAGTTCATCTTGTTCTCTCCAGTTTCCCTTGCTCACACAAAATGATGGATGGATGAACAGATGGACAGATAGACAGACAGGCTGGTGGGCGGATATATGGATGGATAAATGGGTAGGTGAAAAGAGACAGCACACAAAGGAGCATGACAGGAGTCATTCCAGAGCAATGACTGCCATGTGGGTTATGAGGAAACTCACCCATCTCCATAAGCTTCGTGGGTGGTCAGTGCAGTGACAAGGACCCCCAGGAGGGCCCCCAGGACCCCTGGCATCCCATGGAGATTATGGACACCACAAGTGTCTTGGACCTTGAATTTGGACTCAAGACTGGCCTGGAGGGCAGGATGGAGAATCAGGTTCAGGCGCCCTTCCCACCCCACCATGGGTCTGCAGGGAGGTGGGAGGAAAGTGACCGCGATCTGCTCAGGGCCAAAGAGGCAGAAATACCGTGAAGAACTTGTACCCCAGCGTGGAGACTGTCCCAGCCAAGAAACCAGCTGCCAGAGCTCCGAAGGGTGTCAGCATCATTTCACCTGCTGTCCCCACCATGACCCCTCCAGCCAGTGCTGCGTTCTGGATGTGGACCTAAAGGTACAGGGGAGGCTCAGGCATTGGAGCCCCTTTCCAACCCTCACACCCACACCAGACCCAGCACCACTCGCCCTAGTGACACCTACTGCTTCCAGAAGTCTCTCCACCACCTAACCTCTAACTTTCCTGCTTTCATATTGTCTCCTCCTGTTCCGATCCACATAGCCTAGGGCATATTCCCTGGAGGCTTCTGTGCAGAGCCTCAGACTCTCCTCTGCCAGGCTGTCCCTCTGCCTCCCCAAGGCTCTTCCGCATACCATGTTGAGGCGCCCATCCCCACTGACAAGTGCTGACAGGGCAAAGGTGCTGAGTGTGCTGGCTGTCAGGGAGTAATAGGTGTTGAGGGCTGTCCGGTGCTGCGTGTCCCCCAGTGACGTGAGTGCGGAATTGAAGCTGGGCCAGAAGATCCACAGGAAGATGGTGCCTGAATGGTGGGCAGCCAGGAGTGAGAGGTTCAAGATGTGCAATGCAAACAACCCCTCTGCTCTCCCCAGGAATGGCTTCCCATCTGTAAAGTGGGATTGTAACACACCACCTTGGGAAGTGAGGAATGAAGCACGAGATGCCCACAGGTTCACAATCCAGATCCTCGAAGGTGCTAATTGCTTAGCAAGGGCAGCTACCAAAGGGCATCAGCACAAAGAGAGTACTCAGAGAACCACAGCATTAGGGTTTTCATAAAATATCAGAAAAAGGAAAGAGTAGCTGGGCATGGTGGCTCAGTGTAATCCCAGCACTCAGTGGGTGGAGGCAGGAGTTTGAGGCCACAAGTCTGAGACTAGTCTGGGTTACATAGTAAGATCTTGTCTCAAAAACAACATAAAAAAAAGAAAGGGAAGGAAAGCAAGAAAAAACAGAAACAAAAAGGTAAAAGGCAAAGGTCGCACTAGGTACTATATTGGTATACACCTGAAAACAATTTCTTTATAACCTCAACTACCTTTTAGAGAGGCCTGACTGTTGTGTATCGTGCAGGCTGGGCCAGCTCTACATGCCACCTGCCTGTAAGGGTCACAGGCCAATTCTAAAGGGACAGGAAGGCTGGGACAGGGAACAAGGAGAAGCCTGTAAGGTGAGCCAGCAATGCAGGAGGCTTAGGATTGCCCCTCAGTCCTGAGTGGCCAATTGGGTGTGACCTCCTGCAACCCCACTGTCTGGGTAAATCTGTCATACACATTTATTCTTTGTGGGAAGGGTTGGGAAAGAAAGGAGCAAGAGCTGTGTTCCCTCCTGGGTAACCTACACCCAACAAACCAGGAGGCCGAGGAAACCAGAAGTTTCCCAGGAATGTGTGGAAAGCTTGGGGTAACCTTTGGGCTTCAAGCCAAGCTTATCTGGCTCATACAGGGCATGGAAGCCTCAGCTGTGTATTTCACAACAAACCCAGAAGTGGATGAGAAATACAAGTGGTCTTTTTAATGCAAGAAGAGACACTGCAGTCCCAAGTCAGGACATTCTATGAAAAGTCGCATGAATTCCCTTCTGAGCAGGGGAGTTGCTTAGGAAAAGCTGAGGGTACGGTCAAACCCTGCTTCTGCCTGGTTGGCCATGACCCCTTCTTCCCTGCTTAAGAGTACAAGGGCTGCTGGGACCTTGAGAGAAAACAGCCCCAGGGCAGGCTGGAGTTGGTTTGACCCAGACCCAGTCTGGTTGGAATGTGCAGAAAGAATGAGAGAGCAGGAGGAGGAAGGGGGTGCCCAGGAGGAGGGTCTGTTTTCTATACAGCAGTCCTAAAGCCCCAGAATGTCTTAAACAGGAATGAGGTGGGTTGGGAATGAATCTGAGCCATGAGCACACGCAGAGCTGAGTTCAAAGTACTGAGCATGATACGTGCAGACTTCAGGGCTCTAGGAAAAGAATCCAAATGGGCAGAGTGTTCCCACTCAGAAACCCAAGGACTGTAGGCAGCACCCCGAGGGTCCCTGTCCAGATGGGAGGCACCTAGAACCAGCACCCATGTCACCCCCTCCTCAGGCCTCACCAATCATGGCAAAAAGGTCTGAATGGTAGATGGAGGTCAGGCGGTGCTTGCTCTTCTCCAGCTGGGGCCTGTAGAGGACCCGGGAGAGGACCAGCCCAAAGTAGGCACCGAATGTGTGGATGGTCATGGAGCCGCCAGCGTCTCTCACCTAGGGAGGTGCAGCTGAGGAGGAGGTGGCCCTGCCCACAGCTCACCCACATCAGAGCCTCACCATGTCACCCCACATGCCCACACCAAGCCCTATGCAGATTCTTACGCCCAGGAGATGGAGGAGCACAAACTCGTTGATGCCAAACAGCACCACCTCCAACAGGGCCATGAGCAACAGCTGCACAGGCCCGGTCTTGCCCAGGATGGCACCGAAGGAGATGAGCAGGGCTCCCGCGCAGAAGTCGGCGTTGATCATACTGAGATCAGTGTACAGAGGAAGAAAGGGGTGGGAAGCGGCTCTGGACTTCTGCCAGGCATAAAATGGGCAGCCTGGCACACTGGGAAGGGGGAAGGGGGCAGGAGCCATGTTCTTCCTTGAGGTCACATGGGCTACCCCAAGTCTTCTTGGCTGACAAAGTTCACAGTAGAGGGAAGAATCAGGACCTGCGCAGAGAGCTGCTTTACACCCTGCCTTTTCTCTATGCTTTCTTAGTACCCACGAGCTCTAGGATGATGGGGGCCCTAAAGAAGTGAGGCAGTGGGGACCAAGTGTAGGGGTCGAGGAGGGGAGAGGTCAGGCCAGGAGACTGGGCAGGACACCCTCAAACGGGGGAGGGGTCAACAATGGGTCAGGAGGCAGACTGGAGGGAAAGGGCTTAGCAAGGACCCTCAAGCAGGGCCTCCTGGCGGACCCAGGGAGGGGTCAGAGAGGACTCCGGTGCTCACCTCTCCATGCCAATGTAGATGTGGCCACCATAGAATGAGTGGAGGAAACCCTGGATCAATGTGGACCATTGCAGAGCAAAAGCAGCCAGGAGGAAGGTGAAGCCCACGCTGCTGAAGCCGTAGCGCTGCAGAAAGACCATGAGGAAGCCGAAGCCCACGAAGACCATGGTGTGCACGTCCTGGAAGCCTGCAGGGCGTAGGGGTACATGGGGGTACTGGCCCGCTCTGGCTACACTTAACCCATAAAACAAGCAGCCACCCTCTCACCAGCCAGGGCCACCCTGAGGTGGGGCCCTATAAAACTCCCCTGGCATGGTGGAGCCTCCCAGCCCCAAGATACCTGCTGGTCAGCATGGGGCAGCGAGAACCAGATTATCCTGGCTGTCCCCCTGTCAGGCAAGGGACTAGAACCTTCTGCTCTAATTTGCTCCCTCTGCCTCTACCCATTCATCCCATCCCTCAGTCTCTTCCAGCTGATCAGTCAAAAGTCCAGCCTACAGTACCCTGCTCTGCTGCAGTCAAGCCCACCCCTCCAGGCTCAAAACCCTTCTTCCCTTCAGTTTTCTTTTCAGTTTTTCCTTCCTGCTGGGAAGTCCTGCTGGATGTCTAACTTCCCATCTCTGCCATCAGTGTCTACACTCCTCCAGTTTGACAGTCAAAAGAAATAATTTAGGAAACAGCTTTAAATTGTTAATGAAGATTATTTGGTGGGTAATCGAAGGGAGGAATAGGGTTCTGGGTGCCCAGCTTCAATACAGGTGATACCCCCTGGAGCTGTGTAGAGTGGAGACTCTGGGAGAGAAGACTGACCTTTCTTTCTGTCTGTCCTTACTTTTTTCTTTTCTTTTTTTTAAACTGGGGACTGAACTCAGTGCCTTTGCACTGAGCTACATTTCCAGCCCTTTTTATTTTTAGACAAGGTCTGTCTAAATCACTAATTTCCCTAGCCTGGGCTTGAATTTGGGATCTTGCTTCATCTTCTAGAATGCAGGGGATATAGATATGTTCCATCACACCTGACTTGGTTTTTTTCTTTCTATAGTTTGAGCATTGTTGGTAGGTGAATCACTTCAATTTATAGTATGATAATGGGGTTCCTGAGCGGGAAGATTTGGGCCCTTTTCTGATTGCTTTCTAATCTGTACCACCCTGCATTAAAAAGTAAACCAAAGGCTGTGCATGGTGGCACATGCCTTTAACCCCAGCACTCAGGAAGCTGAGGCAGGAGGACTGCTACAAGTTCAAGGCCAGCCTGGGCAACTCAGTGACTTAGCAATACCTTGTCCCAAAATATAAAGAGGGATGAGGATGTAGCTCAGTACAAAGGTCCTGGGTTCCTTCCCCACGACTTGTCTTAAATGGCAATAATGATTACATCTCCTTATTCAGGTTTGGTTAGAATCAAAACTCAGTCTCTCAACCTTTCAACTGGAATCTAAACATCGAGCAACCTCCCTCCCCAGGGAATGTTCACACACAGATTTTCCTTGAGCTCTGCCTGCTGAGGGGCTGTTCCAGAGGTGGGTGTGGATGGCTAAAATGACCTGGGAACACTCCTGGTGAGGGTCCCTTTGAGATGAGTTGGAGCCTGTCCCCCAAACCCATGCAGACTTTAGTTGGAGAAACTATTGCCCTCCCCACCTTCCCTTACTGTTCCTCCCCCCCACCCCCCCGCACCGAGTGACTGGACATAAGATTATAGAACAAGGCAGCAGTTAAAGGCAGACCATTAGTATCTAACAAACTGGATTGAAACTCTAGCTCTGCCCACCTTATTCTGATCTAGTGACTTTGGACAAGCCACTTGGCTTCTCTAAACCTCAGTTATCTCATCTGTAAAGAACAGGTATAGATATGAGAAATAGGAAGCCAGGTATGGTGGTACACACATGTAATCCTAGCATTCAGAAGTCTGAGGGAGGATGATCACTAAATGCTTGAGGTCAGCCTGGGTTACATAGTTCCAACCAGAACTAAGTCTAAGTTGTTAAGGGTAAACTAAACATGGAATTCTAGTATAAAGCAGAATTAAATCACTATCAAATCTCTAAGGAATGTTAAAAATTTCTAGAGGCATAGTGGCATGGGCCTATAATTCTGGCACTCAGGAACTCAGGAGGCTGAGGCAGGATGACTGCTGTGCCTTTGAGGCCAGCCTGGACTACAAAGTGAGTTCAAGTTCAGTTTGAACTACACAGAGAGATCCTGTCTCAAAAAAAGATGAAGAAGAAGGAAAAAAAGAGGATGCGCAGGAAAAAGGGAGGGAAGAGCAGGGCAGGATGTCATCCTCCAACTGCACTCCCACTAGCCTCAGGACAATTGGCTATATTCTCCCAGAAGAGCTCACGGGCCACTCTGGTCTTGGTCACATCCTCATCCCTCACCCCTTCTAAGAAGATCCTGAATCCATCAATCCTAAATCTTTCTCCATCCAATAAATTCTTTAAAAAAGACTAAGACTGAGAGGCTGAGATATCTTTTAAAAAGATTGCCCAGTAGTACATACCTGTGATTTCAGCACTCAGGAGGCTAGGGCATGAAGATTGCATGACTTTGAGGCCAACCTGGACTACATAGTGAATTCAAAGATAGCTGGAACTACATAATGAGACCCTGTCTCGAAAAGAAAAAAAAAAAAAGGCTGCCCAATAATAATGAATTTTTAAAAGTAGTTGGGTATGGTAATGCACACCTGTAATTCCAGTACTTTAAGAGGCTGAAGCAGGAGGATCACAAGTTAAAGCCCACCCTGGACAACTTAGCAATTTAGTGAGAACTTGTCTCGAAATTTAAAAAGAAAAAAAAAAAAAAAAAAAAGGCTGGGGACACAGATCAGTCCCAGTACCAAACAGAAAAAATAAATAATGGAATATCCTTTTTTTTTTTTTCTTAGAACTTGTTCTTATATTTGCTTCCATGACCATTGTCATCATGGCTTCTTTCCCTTCTTTTTTTTTTTTTTTTTTTTTTTATCACTTGCCTCATAGAATAAGAAGGAGGTATGTATTATGGGTAAAAGCCCTAGTGTGGGAATCAAGAAACCATTTCTATTTCCTTTTGAAAGTTGCTGTGTGACGTTGGGCAGGTCACAGGACCTTCCTAGCTCTTTCCACACATTGGAGAAGGCTAGACCAGATGACAAGAGAAAGCCCATACTGCATAGACCACAGGGACCTCAGAGTGGATCTGTCCTTGGCATTGGCCAAGATCGGAGCTTGCCAAGAGCTGCAGGTTCCCTTTCATCTCCTGAATCAAAGGGCAATGGCTGCACTTCTCTGTGACCCTGACCCCTTCCCCTGGACACAGGGACAGGTGAGAAGCCGGTTCATCAAAGCATTGAGCTCTAGGGACTTTACAAGTTTCTCCTGCCCAAATCACCCCCACATTAGAGTCAAAGTCCACAGCGATGGCAATATAGAGCACAGAAAGAGGTAGGGATGGGGATGCAGTTTGCAGGGAAGAGCTCCATGCCTTGCTGTATAAGGTTTGGAGTTCACTCCCAAGTACCAGGGGAAGGGATGTTCCATTGCAAGGAAAGAAAGGGAAGGAAAACAGGAAGGAAGGAAGGAAGGAAGGAAGGAAGGAAGGAAGGAAGGAAGATGAAAGAAAGAAAGAAAGAAAGAAAGCCTCATGCTGTCTTCTTGCTGTGCTTCAGGGACTGAAAACTAAGTCTGAGAAGAACCCAGCACTGCAAAATCAAAACAAAGAAAAGAAGGCAAGGCCCCCAACCTTAAGGGAGGGGGTCCATACCCCTGACAGGGGGGACAATCTCCCTCTAGTGAGTCTTCTCAGCCAGCAAGTTACTCCAGTCTACCCCTCACATAATGGGGGTCACAACCCCTTTGAGACTCAGCTTCCTCCTCTGTGAAACAGGCTAACAGCATGTCATGCCACCTTTTCAGGTCTGGAGGCCGCGTGTCTGTGGATAGCTGGTTCTGACTCTGTAAGGTCAGCTTTGGAGTCTCAGGGAAGAAATGCCTGAGCTCAGTCTTGGCAGCCCCAAAGTGGAAAAGCTTCATACCTAACTCCTACCATCAGGGGCCCCCAGCACCCTCTTCCTATCAGTCCTGCCCAACAAGATTTTCTTTCCTGTAATCAGGGTGGAGCCATGAGAAAAGCAAAGGCTCTCAATAGCCCCCCAAAGCCCAAGAAAGCCAAACAGGAGGTGGGCAAGGGAGTCGTCAAAACTAGGGCTTTAGATCTGGTTCCAAAACCAGTTCTCCTACTTTTGACTATGTGACCCTGAGCCAGTCACTTAACTTTTCTCCGCCTCATCTTTGTCTGTCTCCTGGCCTAAAATGAGATTATGCAAGCTCCATCCTCAGCCCTGCACTTGGAACGCAGTGCCCCTAGAATAAAGGGCCCTTCAGCTACTCAGAGGGGAGATCCTCCGCCCAGAGACACCTGGGAACGTGGAGTCTCTGTCCCCCGCGCGCCCTCTTCGCACTCACTTGGGTAGCGAAAGTAAAATTCATTGTCCGCGTTACTGTGGTTGCCCCAGTGCCAGAGGGCAGCATCGGTTTCGTGGTTGTAGCGTACGAAGATGGCAAAGAGGATGGCGGTGATGCCCTGGAAGAGGAGGCACAGCAGAGGCAGTTGGAGTCGCCGGCCTGCGGCGCGGCGGGAATTCCCGCCCATGGCACCCAGTGGTAAAGTCGCAGGCACGACTGGGGTTCGCGGCGCTTAGTGCGCTGACACTCCTGCGGCAGACTGACAGGTTCCACTCGCGAGACCCCGCCCACCACTGGGTCACGCCCACAAGGACCCTCCCACCCTAGGCCGCGCCCACCGGAAATTGCACTCCAACGAGGCTCCGCCGGCCTCGTGCCCCTGGTGCTGCTGCTTAAGGCTGGCTTCAAAGGATAAAGCCTCGGGCCACCGCTTGTGTCGGGCGAGGTTTCGACTGGATCCGTGTGCACACCCCCAGGTCCTGTCTCCATTGGTCTGGTGGGGACAAACCCTTGAAAATGACCCTGGAAAGATGCCTTATATTCTTACCCTGCTGAAGGCCACAATTGTTTAGGACCTGCAGTGGGAGGAAGGTGGCCACATGGTGTTAACTTAAGAGTGTCTCTCAAAAAACAGGTTTGTTACCCAAAGAAACAGAGGCTGTGGGGACCAGGAAGAAGGTCTACTGAGCCCGCAAGGATGAGGCAGGAGGGAGGAGATGCAGAATATTTTCCTGGGGAGGCTTGTCTGAAGGATACCTAACACCTGTGCAGAGAAGGAGAACGAGACAGAGGAGCTGTGCCAAGAAGTAAGCAGCAGGAGACTGGCAGTGTAAACCTTACATGTGTTCAGGGCCTCGGGCTGGGATCAGGAATGGGAAGGCTTTGAAGGCCCTGTGAGGGACATGGCTTCTGCCCTGTGGACTCTGGACCACTGACAGTTCTAACAGGTAGGGATCACCCCATCCATACACCCCCACTCCCTTCATCTCCTCACACTCCAGGTTCTAATTCCTGACCCCAACAGTCCACAAGGGAACTTCCTTTTTTTTTTTTTTTTTTTTTGTCTTTTTCCTTTTTATCAGTACCGGGGATCGAACTCAGGACTGCCTGCTTGCAAGGCAAGTGCTTATGCCCCTGAGCTAAATCTCCAGCCCCCAACAAAGGAACTTTCTTTGTTCCATTTACCCCTTCCCAGTACACTTTCTCTTCTCAGTGACTCAAGCTCCCAAGCTAGCTAGCATGGGCTCTGGGGAACAGTTGGATTTTGGGATCCAGATTTTCTATGCACCCAGCTGGGGCACGTGGGTCTGTCTTTGATGGCTGAGGCCCCAGTTGACAGCTTGACACTGGGGCCCACAGTGACCCCTATCAGCAGGAAGTGTGTTTTCAGAGCCCCTGTTAGACTGGGCATGGGGGCTGACTGGTCATATATTGCCTCCAGAAATAGTTCAGCATCTGGGGGCTCCTCCCAGGCCCAACCTTCTGCCCCAGAGATGCGTCTTGAGCCCAATTTGGGAGCAAGAGTTGCTCTGGTCTGTCCCTGGGAGAGGAGGAGCCTTTGATGGGAGGATGGGCTTTCCCAGCATCTGGAGCTGCTTCTCTGTCTGCTTCTGTTTTCTGCACCTCTATCGCTGTCTCATCTGCTGTCTCTTCATCTCTTGAGAGTCCTCTGGGTCTCTGATTTTCCCTCCATTGTTTTTCATTCATTCATTCATTCATTCATTCAGCAAAGTCTTGCAACCACAACTATAGGCTCTAGTCAAGGTATATCATATGGTTGGATCCTAGAGGCCACTGCCTGGTAGATGTTAATCCTTTAGGTGTGGGTTGTGGTAGAGGTTCTGCCTGCAAGGAAGGGCAGGTGAGTTTTTAAGCAATAATATCCTTCCCATGTACTCATTTATAAATATTTATCTATTAAACAATTTTATTAGTTATTTAAGCAGTAAATATTTATCGGGCAGTAGTTGTATGTTGGGCCGTTTCTTATGTGTTGGTTATACAGCAATAGAAAAAAGTCAGTTGGCCCTGAATCAAGGATAGCTGCTTCCTGACACTGTTGGTTTCAAGCAGGAGCCCAAAGAGATGTCTTTTTATGGTCTGTTGGCCATTTCAGAAGTTGGGCAGTGAAATGGTCAATTCATTAGAAAGAAACAGCTTTGGGGCTGGGGATTTAGCTCAGTGGCATAAGCGCCTGCCTTGTAAGGAGGCAGTCGTGAGTTCAATCCCCGGGACCGATAAAAAGGAAAAAGACAAAAAAACAAAAAAAAAAAAAAAAAAAAGAAAGAAAGAAAGAAAGAAAGAAACAGCTTGAAGTAACCCATCACCACCACCATGAGCGGGTGTGAATGTGGCAGGTGGCCCAGGATGGGAGCCACCAGCATTTACTAGGACCTGCGCCATGCTGGGAGTTAGAGCACCGGAAAACCAAGCAACCCCTCCCCACTGCCTGTTTTGTTTTGTTGAACTTCAATATACATGAAAGTATGGAAAGCTATTTTGAAGAGAATGAGAGATTCTATGATAGCCATTAGTGACTTTCCTGTTGTCTGGTTTTGAAGACCTAAAATGCCTTCCTCATTCTGTTTGGATCAGTTTTATAGTATGTTATTTTGTATGAAATCTCTGTATGCAAAGACATGAACAACTATTTGTAAGAAAACAAGAGACAATATGATAGACAATGAAGATCTCAGGTTGTCTGGCTTTGAAATTTATATCTCTTACATTGCTTTCTTATGTCCTATTTTGTTCTGTTTTGTTGTGTTTAATTTTACCCCCTTTAAAATAAAAGTAAAAATTTTTAAAAAAAAGAAAAAAAATCAAGAAAAGGAGGAAAAGCCTGGCATGGTAGCATATGCCTATAATCCCAGCACTTGGGAGGCTGAGACAAGTGGACTAGTGTGAGTTCAGGGCCAACCGTGGGCTACATCATGAGTTCAAAACCAGGCTGACAGACATAGGGAGATCCTGTCCAACAACAAACAGCTAGACATAGTGGCACACTCCTCTAAGCCCAGCACTTAGGAGGTTGAGGCAGGAGGATCATCACAAGTTCAAGACCAACCTGGGCTACAAAGTGAGCCCAAAGCCAGCCTGAAATGCATAGTGAGACTCTGTATCAAAAAGACAAAAAAAGTGGACAAAGAACAAGAGAAAAAGAAAAAAGATTTTTCACTAATGAGGAACTTATTTTTAAAATTTAAACCCAAAAATAAATAAATTTAAAAATTTTAAAGTTGTGTTGTTTAAAAAAAAAAAAAGTCACTACTTGAAACTTGTGGTCTGACTTTGCACTAAACTGCCAAGTGGTTGACAAATGTCAGAAGATAAAAACCTCAGAGGATCCTGTTTAGGGGAAGGGAGAAGACTGGCTGGGGACAGGGAGGATATGAAGGAAAGTGTCTTGGGGAACATGCTCCCTGGTTCATGCCCAGAAAACCCTTTTGGGTTCTGAATCTCTGTTTCCAAATTCCTTTTTTTTTTTTGAGACAGGGACTACTTATGAAGTCCAGGATGGTCTTTGCTATGGATTAAAAACTGATGGTCAACGGGCTGGGGATTTAGCTCAGTGGCATAAGTGCCTGCCTTGCAAGCAGGCAGTCGTGAGTTCGATCCCCGGGACCGATAAAAAGGAAAAAGACAAAAAAAAAAAAAAACACAAAAAACTGATGGTCAACTTAACACTCACTGAATTAAATGGCATGATGCATATAGATGGCCCACCTGATGAAAATTGCCAGCATAAAGGGAGATGTGGAGAGAAAGATTGAGGCATTGTGGGTTCTTCTAAGTATTGTTTGGAGCCTTTGGTTCTCCTGGAGGAGTTTGTCATGGCTGGCTTCCCCAGTATGAATTCAGTCATTATCAGAGGAGCTCGGAACCTTGTCACTGAGAGTGGCTGTGGTTCATTTTGGGGGAGCTCTGGTCCTTACATTGAGCATCACTTCCTGGCTCCAGAAGGGATGGTGTTTGCTGTTTAATTTCCAGGAGAAATTTGTCACACTGGCATGTACTCAACTTTTCTCATTGTCATAGGAACCCAGGACCTCATTGTCACTGAAGATGGCTGTAGTACTTTTCAGGGGAGGTCTGGTCCTTTTTTGAGTGTCACTGCTTGGCTGTAGTATAGAACCTTCAATCTACTGGCACAATTTCTTTATCCTACTGGCACAGACTTTCTAATTTCCACCGCTGACCTTGGGGCCTACCCAGGGCAGATCCAAAAAACAGACTGGCAAGAGTCCTTGTTGGGCTTCTAGACTTCCAGTTGGACTTGTGGGAGGCATTGTCGTGGGCTCTGGGTCTTCAGCTGAACTCATGCAGGACATTGCTGTGGGATCCAGGCCCTTGGCTGAATATTCTGGATCTTTAGTGTTGTGGATAGATTTCTAAATTTTCTTGTGTTAAACTCTGGGCAACCATCATAAAATAATATTATAAATTCTGTGTCCTTTATGTAGTTGTTCTCCCTGCAGCCCCTGACTACAACAGTCTTAAACTCACTATTTAGCCCAGGTTATTAGCCTGTCATCCCTACAAGTGCTGGGACTACAAGCATATGATACCATGTGTGGACCAAAATCTGTTTTTTCCAAGATCTGAATACAACTGAAGTTCTGGATTCAGCAGCAGGGCCACATATGAAATGGGCAGTAAATAAGGAGGTAGCTGGGTTGCACCTGCAGAAGGGTCTTAAAGGAAGAGGGTTGCTTGGTCAGAAGAGAGGCCTTTAGAGGTGTGGGAGCTCCATTTCTCAGGTTTCACTGTGGAAGCTGCTCGCTAAAGGCTTGGAGAAAGTTATGGGAGTCAGACCTGGCCCCAGGTCCAGGAAGAGCCTTTTCATCCAGACCTGCTCTCCTGGAAGAGCCTGGCCCTCCTAAAGTGAGGCTAGGAAGCTAGCAAGACAGCCTTGGACCCAGTGGGATAAGGAGCCCCAAACACTCTCACCAGAGCCTCAGAGGCAATGTCATAAGATTCCAGCAGATAATTCCCACTCCAGTGGCAGAACCCATGCCTCCAAGTGAGCCAGCCTGCCTGGTGGACTCTGGATCAGTGCCAACTGTGACTACATATCAGAGCCGCCTGACCCAGAAGGAAGAACTTTGAAAAAGAGTAACGCTTGGCCCTACCCTGAAGATGTTGATTTAATTTGCTGGGGAGGAGTCTCAGCACTGACTTTTTTTTTTTAAGGTTCACTGGTAACAAAACTTATTTGAAAAGTAAAAGTAATGTAGGGAGAAACTGGCTCTGAAAAGCTAGCT